AATCTTCCCCCATGACAAGAAGAGAAGATTCATCGTCAAAATGCAAGACATTAAATCGTTCTGAGTCAGTCGGCCAGTACGTCATGTCTCCAAACTCCTTCCTCAAGTACAACGAATTCGTTTCCAGCTGAGAAATACAACTTTCCTCGTTTGCTGTTTTCAGTGTTGAAGATTTCACCCCCAATACAATTGTTCACAGGGTAACCACAGTTTAACACGATCTAAATTTTGTCTAAGATTACTTAATCTTGCACTGTTGCAGTCATGTCATAGGGCAATTTTGCAAGACTCTAAATGTAAATACATGCAATGTGTATTGCCTGAAAAGCTCAAGAAAGCCTCAAAACTGTCATATCCCCCGCTGCTATTCGTAATTTAAACACTTTTCCGTCCTTAGTCAAATCAAAGGTTTTATTGCTTGCCATAATGTCGGCGAACGGACAGTCCAAAAGAGTGCGAATTTTTCACTTCCTTCGCAGACCCCAGGCGGGCATGGGGGGGGGGAAGGGGGAGGATGGTATCAGAAATTTACCCCCTCCCTCTCCCTCACCTTCATTCCAACCATGTTTTACAGTATGACGTCTGAAAAGTCGATATGGGTACATCACCCGCTCCAATATGCTCCAATACTAAGTCTAAGATCTTTTTAACTTCTTAGCTAACGTCCAAAGTCTAGCAGCTCGCTGTAATGGAAAGAACTGAGGAAGACGCTCCAAAACATCATAAAAGACCGCGGAGATAGTTAAACTCTCACTTCCTTCAAACGTCTTAAGCAAGGAAACGGACCTGGCCATGGGGAGAGGGCTCAGTTTCATTTTTCTCTTTATTGTTGACAGGATTAAAGTAGAAAATAAGTTATGTTTCAATATTCTATCAAAAAGAAAAAAAGTAAAAAATTTTCGATTTGGCACTTTCGTATCAAAAATTGACATCAATTTTCAATTTTTGATTTTAAACGAAAATTGAATGGACGAATGACACACGGACCGTAGACTGCCCTTTTTACACATTTGTGATGACGTGCAAACTGTCCTATTGCTGTTTGTGCTCGAGTCGGGATTCTGATGATCAAACAACCTCCTAAAATGCGTTATAGCTTTGATTACACACAGAATGGGGAGACACAATTCCGTCACCATTTAACTTAACTCGAACAAATAAGAAACAAAGGATGAACATCATGGAAAAATCAACGGATACTTGAAAGGGTAATTTAGAATTATTAAACTGAGTTGATAACTGACTGTGAATGCATGCATATAAACCCACACACAACCCACAATTCCTCCAATCGCTCTGACGAGGGGTTAACACTCGAAATGTCAGCTTTTGATCTCTTTACGATGGCCAATTGAGTTGATAACGTGGGAATTAAGAGTGCCGAGTCGGGATACCCACGGGTCCCCACGGTATCCACGAGCGCTTTTCATTCAACTAATTTATTATTGTTTTCTCGTCACCATATTCCCACCAATAGCGTGGCTCCATTTTCTGCATATAAACCCACACACAACCCACAACTCCTCCAATTGCTTTGACGAAGGGCTAACGCTCGAAAAGACAGCTTTTAAGCTCTTTACAGTGGCAAATTTACGTTATCAAATCAGTTGATGATACTAAATTACCATGTTATACTGTACCTACTTGAAAGATCTGACGACAGTTGTTCGAGGGTTGGATAACAAGATCCCGCAGTATATAAATCTCTACCCGGTAGATGGTGCAGTACAAAGCAATTTATCAGTTTAAAAGTAGACCTTAAACGTTAACAACTTTGAATTTTCTCTTTCTTCAAATTCCCACAGACTCTCTCTAATGGTTGGGGTTCAACGGAATATGCTTGTAAACTAGAGCACTAGCTGAGCCCCCAGTAGGATGGACGCAAGCAAAGCCTCTCTGAATTTTATTTGGAGGGAAAAAAAAGGCCAAAGAATGACAATTATTGTCGGCTCATTAACGAATCACATGATGATTTGGCGCAGGATTTATTGCCGTGCGCGTGCCTCATGGGAAAAATATATTGCCAATGTATTTAGCCTCTCTGTATGAATTTTATGTTCCTTTTTGGTCAAAAAGCTAAATTCTATGATAATTGATCACCATGCTGACTCAATGCTCGTTGAACAGGAAAACTGTAATTTTCCAGGGTTGTTTTGACACAGAGAGAAATGCTTCACTAGCTTCATTTGGATAATATTGCCCTCCACTGTAGATTGGTAACAACAATGGAAATAATGCAAACCTCACATCTCCTTTGCGCTGTGACTCTCATCGGATCGTGCTAGTTAACCCTTTAACGCCCATGAGTAACCAAGACAGAATTTCTCGTTACAATATCAGTACAATATCAACTAGATAAGTGATGAGAATAAAGAAAAATATCAATTTGGGAATAATTAGTTGATCCAATACTAAGTTCTCTGAACTGACATGACAAAAATTGAATGGTTGACAGTAAGGAGAATTACAAATTTGATCCGGGAGGTAAAGGGTTAAGGAAGAGATGCGCCAGGAATACCATTCTATCAGTTCCTCAAGGGTTTAAGTTGAAGGAAAACAGGTTAGAAACTTTCCTACAAACTTCTAACCATTAGCGTGACAGACAGTACTAATTTTCGTGGTCAATCATTAGCTGCTCGCAGTCGTCTGCTGTCGACGTTTTGATGTATACCTTTTAGATATCTTTTTTGTACCAGGAGGGAGGGGTGACTCTGTTATTCTCTTGTATGCGCCTCCGTCGAGACACCGCTGCCAGTAAGAGACCACATATCAGCATCAGAAGCGCTTCGCAAAGTTTGCTTTTAGTCTAGCGTGAGGACATGTTTTGCTGGTGTGAACAGTAGCTAACAAAGACAAGGTAAGACAAGGCTTACAGGCTCCTAGTGGGTCTTTATTGACTAATTTGTCATGAGTGTGAAAGCTTTGTTGTCTATATTGTTAAGAGTTCAGCTATGCACTGTCTTGTGGAAGTGTTTGTTTGTTTGTAATTTTACTAAATAGTATCAGCCTAGGATCTCATACGAGTTATTTAAATTCCGAAAATGCGCAGAGGTGGTCTTTTTTGAACGGAGCCACAAGACTTCTCTTTTCCTTTTAGATTTTTACTCAGGCTTTGGCTTAAACGTTGTCTGTTTTACCGTTTATACTAAGGGCGCAAACGTCACCTCGCTCACGCCTGCATCAGTATCAACAAAAACAACAAAAGTGGTGACAGTTACAACCCCATCAGTAACCAATTTTAGTTCAGAACCTGCTTCAAAGACCATCCATGAAAGCTCTACTAAAGCGTATGCGTTAAGGCCACAAGATCCTTCTCCATCCAATTCCCTCACCACGTACACAATGGAGCACAACGCTCCCCCTCCACCCTTACGAAAGCCCAACAATGGTAAACAGGTATGTTCATCAGTGAATGAAGCATTTACCCTAGAAACACCCAACTAAGGGTCATGTTGCACACCCCACGATCACGAACAGCCTTTAGGTACACATACACACTTGCCAGATGAAGCCCATTTAAGGGTTCATGACATTGTGTATCAAGTCCTTGAAAAAATTTCTGCGCCTAATTTTTGTGAGAGTCGAGTGCATCTCTGAGGCAATTCACGCTCTAATTGAGTGAGAGCGTGATCACTTGTTACAAAGTGGAGAAATGTGTGAGAAGCTACGAAAAGTTACGGCCCACTGTAGAATGTTATTTAAAGGATAAAATGAGAAATGTCCAGCCAAGTTAGGAGGACATGGGCTATAGAACATTGAACCTGAAGAAAAAAAACAGAAAATTGTGAAATATTTGTTTCATCGCTGAAAACCAAAACCACGAGTTAATGATCTTTCCTGAAATCTGTTCTTAGTAAACCTTCGTAATGTATTACAACGAATGTATTATTCGTAATTTATTATAACGAATGTCAAGTCGGTTACAAGTAGATCAGTACTTCGACGCAATTAGCATTATGTTAGTCGTTTTTGATGTGTTTCGTAGTTTTATTTCGGAATAAGATTATTTCATACCAGAAACCCTGCCGTCTGATTTTCTGACTGGTGTTCTCAGTTTGGAAGAGAAGGGAAAAAGTTGCAGCAACTGTTATACAGAACAGAAATGTATTTCTTGCGATGGAGCATAAGAAAGGAATGAACGACCGCTGTCTTCTGACCATAAAAAAACATATTTGCTGGTCTTCATCCCAATTCCTTTAACTTTGTCCCTTTCCTCAATGGAAAGCGAATCCTTTAACACGCCGCCGTAAGGTTCTGAAAGTAATTCATGCCGTGACGAATGATCTACGCATAGTTAGACGAATATTTCACATACATCTGAATTAAGAGCTCAATAGCAGATGACGTAATGAAGAACTCCACCACAAAATCCACAAAGTCACTTTAAATCTACTTAAAAAATATTTCACTACATTTTTGTACTCTCACAGGTATCAAAATATAAAGCTAAAAATATCAGAAACTGCTTTGTCCATCCTCGCCAAGTAACATCACCTCCTGTGATAAAATAAAAAATAAAACGATTAAAACACAAACAAGAAAAGAGAAAACGCATTAAAAAAAGTTATTTCAAAATTCAGTTATATGGCGATCGAAAGAAACAATATGTCTCAATATTTTCAATCGCCTAAGAGTTGCAGACGATGTTGGTTTTCTATAATGACGATGTTCTCAATGCCTTGATTGTAATTATGTCATAGTCACTCGGGAAACTGAGATGATCTGAAAGATTATAAGAAGCCAGACTTTATTAAGGGTAGGAAAGATTAGTTGCCTTGTTTCTTAGGGCAAAAGGAATGAAATAGGCCAAAAGTGTTGAAATATAACCTCTTTACTCCCAGCTACAAGTAAACTATAGCCACGAAGTAATTTAGTATTATCAACTGAGTGGGTAACGTAAATTGACTATCGTAAAGAGTTTCAAAGCTGACATTTCGAGCCAACAGAGAGAAAAAAAAATCGGCTAAATTTTTATTCCCATTAAAAAAAGTTAATACTCACATCATTCTGATATGCTCCAGAGAATGCGGCTTTTCCAGAGTCCTGCTTTGCTTGTTCTTCTGATTCCTGTTTGGTAAAACCAAGAGATTAAGACAACTTGCTGACAAGCTGATTGACAAACTGAATGAATTAAAGACCACCTGACCGACTGCCAGCCTGATTGAGTCATTGACTGACTGAATGACCAGGAGACCGACCGACTCACTCGCTGACTAACTGATTGTTAAGTTATGATTGATCAATATTCCAGCATCTTGGTGATTTTTCTTTTCGCTGGTGGAGGCGTGCCTGGATGTAGCTGGATGATTTACTGACTGATTGATTGATTTGTATGCTGGATGCCTGCCTTTCAGGCTGATTAAATGAAAAACTAATTTATTGACTGACTGAGTGAATAGCTGACACATTGTCTGTCTGACCATCAAACTCACACATACCTGCGTGAGTGAAGCACTGAACAACTGGCTAACCAGTTGACTGCTTGCCAGACTGTCAAGCCCAAAAATTTACTGCCTGGCCAGCTGCGTGCCTGCCTGTTTGCCTGACTGACTGAACTACTGACTAACTGGTCTCCACAAACAAGCTCCATGTGATTGGTTGATACATGAAAATGTAGATCAACTGCCTTCCTGCCTGCCTAACTGATTGACTAGTCTCCACAACCTAGCTACATGTCATTGATTGAACATGAAAAAGGCGATCAACTACTAAATTAAGGAGTATGGACATTAACCGGAAATCGCTTCCAAATAAACGCACGTGCATTTAGAAAAAAGCACCCACAAAATGCGAATATGCGTCACGAACCTTTCCCACTCTAAACTTCGCTTGAAGATTCACATCTGTTACAGTTGCTTTTGCCGCCCAACAAGGAGATTCATTTACAAGTACCTCCATTTGGACTGCAGCGACACCGTCATGTTTAGTATACCCAATCTCTACTTTGGTAGATTTTGTTTCCCTATGATAGACACGAGTTCTTGCGGCAGCATTTGTTTCTCCACCTGAGGAAGAGTTGCCCACATCAAATCCTAGTTTTCCAGCAATATTAAATCTGTTGTGATGCTCAAGTAAGTTTGTGCTTCCAAAGTTCTTAACCCCAAATAAAGAAAGTTCGTGAGACTTTTGGAGGCTTCCGTCTTCTACATGAGTGTCTTTAAAGACATCACTTTTGCGCTTAAAACAGGAGCTTTTGTTGTACACGAATCTCGCCGAAGGTCTTTCGAACTCATTATTAGGACAAGTAATATTAGTTCCTGCTGGCAAATAATCCTTCTCATTACACTTTTCTTTTTTTTCTGAAATTTTTCCCAAAGAAAGATTTGTCGGAGTCAGGAGAGTAGACATGAGCCTGTCCGAGACTTGTTTACGTTCTTCTTCAATATCATCAGTGCATGTATTTCCTTTAAAAACGGCACACGTCTCGTTCTGTTGGTGAGTTGATTTAGGGTATCCTGTGGCAAGAGGACCTTCCATGGCATAACTGAAATTTTCTTGAAGCAACTGGTCTTCCTGACGAGATTTCTCATTAATTGTCACCTTTTCTCTTTGAGAATGTAAATTTCCAGCCCTCAGAGATGTTGCATTCTCCTGTTTGCTCTGAAAGTGTTTTGGTGAAGAAGCAGTTACAGTAGTTCCTTCTTTAAGAGTTCAGTTCCAGAAAAATGTTGCCTTTTAACTTCCTCGTCAACGTATGGTTTGAAGTTATACTCAGTGGGAAACGAAATGTCTGCGCAGCTTCCAGCATCTGGAAATAACGTAACAGAGGTATTTTATTATATTTTGATTGATAAAGGTTTCCCAATACCTTAATCAAACTTGAAATTAACTGCCCTACACCTTCCAGGGAGATTTCGGATGAAAACAAGTCTTGCTTCATTCAAGTTTTGCATCGTGAGCGAGCGCATTTAAAAGTTCCAGGTTAGTCACTGGTTTGAAATGAACTTCTGATCAAAAAGTTGCCTATGTTTCTGTCACGTTTGAATGAAATTAGTGGAGGTTGCGAAAAGATCGTACCAGTCTCTGAATCGTTTTGAAGTAATTGAAAGTTTTTAAGAATGATAGATTCAACTGCGTGGTTGTGAGGGTGAAATGTGAGAGTGAATGGAATGCGATCGGCATCTTCTTTCTGAACCGTTTGTAGTGCTGAATGTCGATCAATTTGTTGGGCACGGCGGTGGCCCGCTTGAACGACAGAAACAAGATAACCACGTTTATTGAAAAACTAGCACGTTGCCTCTGATTTTTCAGAAAAATCAGAGTCGTCACTACATAAACGACGAAGTCTGAGAAACTGTAAAAAAGGTGATTCCTATGTGAAAGGTAAATTTCTTTGTCAGAAGTTCGTTTCATGGCGACGGCATAGGGCCAATTTGCATTTATGCAGTTCAATGGAAGGCAAGAACAAACCTGTTTTCTTATCTCCTTGTTGAGGCAATAAATTTGCAAAGGAACACTCTGGCGCCAAAAATGGATGCGCAGCAGCTTGATAAGGTGTAAGTCTTTCACCTGAGATCGTGATACAAAGCAAAGAACAAAGGTTGGTTTTTTGTTTTTCACGTGTCAGTGCGTTTGGCATTGTTTTGCAGGATAACGACTGTAACAAACAAAGTGTTTCAAGTAAAAGTTACACAAACTATGATAATTCCGTATACTTACCTGGTTTATACTTCAGCAAGCCAACTAAGAAACGTGCAAAAGAGAAATTTCTTGAATTATGGAGTTTTAGCATCACATTAGTCACACATTTCAGGTGATTGTCCTCTAAAAGCAATGAAAAAAAAAAAAGTCTTAAGTGAGTAAAGAGCCTACATGTGTTGATTCCTACAGTATTTTCTATGTGGGATTTTTTCCCATAAAAATTTATTGTACTTATGGACGTTTTTGTTGATTCATTTTTTGGGAGCAGAAAGAGTTGGAAAGGTGAATGAAAGGATACTTTTTTTCTGGACATCTCATTGTGCATGATGTTTTTTTTCAGAAATCTTCCCATGTATGAATTATTTTAAATTTTCACTTGAACCACCTCTAAGCATCGCTCTCTTTCCGATGGTTCCTCCCTCATACAAAGGATAAGTCGTCTTTTGCTATTTTGCTAATGTATCTTAACTCTTTACTTCATAACATCAGTATGCATATTCTCCATACTACTCTCTAGAAATTTCCTAAGGCTCTGACAAGGAGAATTTGTTCAACAATCAAGAGCTTCTTTAGTAGGTGATCATCTCCTTTATTCTCATGACCTTGATGTTTGATTCAGGGGTGATGTTGTGTGAAGAAATTGGATGTTAGTCACTCTTAGGAGTTAAAGGGTTAAATCAATTGTTTATTTAAGTTGTGTACCTGGATTTATAAAATATTTGCAGAGACCTTTTAAATGATGTTGAGGACTAAGTAAGGATTACCAAAAAAGTTTGAGATAACTTGATTACATTTGAATCATCTTAAACTTGAATTTAGCTGAGTTGTGGTGACCTATAAACTGTGACAAATCTTCAAAACATTTTCCAGTATGGAATTGACTCCAGGGTATGGGACCAAGAATACTGGTTACCTGCAACCAAGCAAGAAAAAGAATTGGAAAAAATTGATTGAACTTACAAAGAACAGTACCCAGAAGGTCAAGAATTGCAAGCTAATTGCAATTTTGTTTGTATTCACACTTCCCCAAAATAGAGGAAGTCTAAATAAAGTGTAGCCAGAAAGGCAGTTACTGCATTCTTATTAGTGTATTAGTTACCTTAGGTCATAAACAGCTTGTATAAGTGCCAATAATAAAAAAACAAAAAAAAACATACCTCTTGCAACACTTTAGTCCTATTTCCTCCCAGAAATAAAGGTTTGCCTATATACAACTGAAACCAATGTTCATATTAAAAGGACATTATTTCATTTCCTCACCAGTAACATTAATGGCTGGGTGAGTTCTCCTCCCCCCTTACAGAAAAATATCCATCATAAAACTGCCAAGTATCATCTCTTATTAGCTCTGACTGATGGTATAACAATCATTAACGATATTTTAATTATGGTGAGAACATACAAGTCAATTAACCAACCTCAGCTACAATGCATCCCAAAGACCAAATGTCAATCTCAGGGCCAAAGGGAACACCAAACATCACCTGGAAAGAATTGACACAGTGCTTTCAGTTTCAACTGACTGCCATCAACATTATTAAGTGGAGGACACTGTACCTCATTGCATTAAACAACATTTAGTGGGACCTTCTTCCACAGACTGAACTTTAAAATTCAAGTGTCCAACAACCACTTAAAAACAGCCCTAATATGTACATCCCCCATCTATTTGCACCTGACATACAATCATGGTAAAATAATTGTGTGAATTGAAATATGTTTTCTGATACATTGCTTGAGATGATAGTCACCACAGAACAGAATTTTCCATCTGCAACAGGCCAACCACATTAAGTTGTTTTATGAAACACAAAACTGCAGAACTTCACTGATCATCTTTCATAGAGTACTTCAGTTCATGCAAGTCCAAATAAAATAGTTTAATCTCGCTTTATTTCCCTTGGATTGATTAGGAAAACACTGGAGTTGCATGCATGTAACCTACATGTAAAATTAATTTTGTCTCCCAATTCATGAAAACAGCAATATCTTTACTTTACCTCAGGAGCTCTGTAAAGTAAAGTTTGTAGTTCAAACTCATCATAATACAAGGAAACCTGACAGAATTAAACAGAAGAAAATAAGAATTAAATTACATATTTTGAATAATTATCATATGTCATTACTAATGGTGGCTGACAGAGCTCCAAGCTCATTTTTCCAAAGAGTTGCCTTTTGGCAACCTTCAAATTTAAAATGGTCACCATTTAAAAATTTTTGGCTGCCTCTTTTTTCTTTTTTCTTATCTGTTAGTCACCAATTAACTAAAATGTTAAAATGACTAAAATGTTGGCAAAAGTCACCAAATATATTTTCACTTGTCATGGTGATCAAAATGGCATAGATGGCAGTATAGAGAATATGCATATTGATGTTAGGGTGTAAAGGGTTCATAAAGTCTGCAGTACAACAATTCTGATGCATCTAGCTGCACACATTTAAAATTAAGTCACTAAAATCACCAAATAATAGAAATTACATGTACCTCTCTATGAACCCAGTGAATTGCATTTCCAAAGTCAACAACTTTTATCTTGGTTTCGTCACCTACAGTGTGTTAATATAATAAACAATTTTAGTACACACCAAACAAGTAAATAGTGCTTTTTGCATGTGCTGATTGGCTGGTTCCATTCAGTGAATACTAAGTACTATTCACCTCCATGCAGCCTGTGAGACAAAATCACATTGTAAGAGTTTGATTTCTGACCAGTTTTTGGTATATTGAAAGAAATAAACTAATTTTTTGGTATCTATGTGGTATATACTAACAAATTTATTCACTTCTGTCAGTGTCAGTGAAAGTGGTGGATATTCACCAAGCTGCGAAGCAGTGAGGTAAATATCCACCACTGTTCACCTTCAGGTCTGTGACTAAAATTGTTAAGTGTACAAAAAGTTGTTTTATTACAGTGTATTAACAACCAGATCTCTCAATGGAGGTTGGCTGTCAGCAATGTAAAAAAGGTTACGTCCATAAAAGGTTTAGTCCATAAATTCCAAACCTACAGCTCCCATGCATCAAAATGTTTGCAACTAAGACATGGGGCCCTATACAAGGCATCCAGTCACCATCATGATGACAGAAACAAAAATGGGATGGTATATTCATGATGTTTTTTGTTAGGCAAATAATTGTAGCTGATATGAACTCTGAGTATTCATCAAAGTTAAGTCTTTCACTGACCACTGTATAGCGTATCTTCAGAATCTGTATAAAATGTTGGTCTGTTTTTCTTACAAAATGCTATGTACAGCTGTTATTTATATTTAACCAGATCAAAATATTACAACTATCTTTAAAAAGGAAGACTTTTTAAGTCCATTAAGTTAAATCAAATTTTTTGACAATTTGTTGCAAACACCCCACTTCACCTTCTTCAAAAAGAATGTTCTCTGGTTTCAAGTCAGCATGGATGACATTCTGTCTGTGGATTCATATGGAAAGTTGAATGAGATCAAAGCACATAAAATCCTGAAATCAGTCCCTCCTCTCAAATGATCACTCCCCTTTGAAAAAGATCCCCTTTTATTTGCCAAAATGCAGAATAAACATCCCACTTCCAACCTGCAACAACATGGTGGCATCACCAAAAGATGGGCAAGAGAAGATTCCCTTAACAATGAAATAAAATGAAGCCACTTGTGGGTACAGATGAGTAATTCTAGAGAGTCTAAGAAGAACACCTATTGATAATCTTACCTCCTTAGGAATCCAAGAGCTTGTAAGAGCTACAAGCAAATAACCACATCAATTTATTAGATAAAAAAAACTATTATTTTGATTTCAATAAATTTGATGCATAACAAGTTTCATCTTCATTAAAGCTAACTTTATGGTCTTAACTAAACTATATGGTCTAACTAAATGGTCTTTGTAAGTTCTTATAGCTGACAAAAGAAAACTGATGCAATTGTATTTGAAATAAATTAAATCAAAAGTATTTATAAGAATTTAAAAAAAGGTTTGCTCACTTGAAAAGTTATTTTCCTGATGACTTTCAGTTTGTCATCCTGTTGGTAAACAAAATCAAGAAAACACTGTTGAGTGACTGATATTACAGAATGTACATGGTTAGATGATGATCTTGCCAAAAATATGTATATTAAATCAATCATGTTGTTAACAAAGATGACAATCAATTTAACAATGAAAACTTACAATGCACAGATGGTAATACATTAAACACTCTTACCTCGTTATCAAACTGACATTTCTGTAAAGAAGATGATTTAAAATATAATACTTACATCAGTAGAGATACAACTACAAAGTACAACAATTGATTTAAAGGGAAAGCTCAATGGATTCCTTAACAGCATGTTTATAATTCAATAAAGCCAGTAAATTTCTAAAGCAAACTGTGGCACTGTATCAGTGGGAGAGTATGAAAAGGTAATTTGGTATTATTAACTGAATTGATAACATAAATTAGCCACCATTAAGAGTTTCAAAGCTGACATTTCGAATGTTAGCCCTTCACCATTCCCTTTGACAGAGGGCTAATGCTTGAAACATCAGCTTTGAAACACTTAACAGAGGCCAATTTACGTTACCAGCTCAGTTGATAATACTAAATTAAACTGTTTATAATTTAACCAACCTGAAAGTATTGATGGACTGGCCGAGGTCTCAACAGCTCAAAAACCAAGCAGTAATGGCCCTCAAAACTGAAAACATTCTAAAAATCCACAAGCAAATATGTCAAATTGGCAAAAATGCAAGGTCAGTGAACTGGGTCCTCTACATAGAATACATTCTTGTACTCATGTACCAAATATATCAGTGCTATGTTACAATTATTGTAAAACAAAGAACCAATTGGAAATCATAATATTAAGACTGCTCATGTGTTTTACAAGAAAAGCTGTAACTGCATACAAGTAAATTACAATTATAATTTTTCATGCATGTTTGATACTGCCAACTAAGTGTTGACATGCAAAAAACCTAGTTTGCACCACTCTGTCAAGTTGATGGATGAAAGGCAAAGCATTCACCATTCTCAATCCAAGATAATTGGTCGAATTGCCTTGTCAGTTAAGGCCAGTGGTGTTTAATACTGTTGAGTAATTACATCATTTTTGTCCTTCAGTAGGGTCAGTTTCTTCTCTTTTCATGATTTTCATATGGTATCAAAAAGGTGGAGTGATACTTACAGTGTCTGTATAAAATCAGTCCTATTTAACAACATACAGATATTTCGTTTCATGTGATTCAGTACTCAAAAGGGATCGTACATTCATGACTTACAAACAACTGGACAGTTCTGGAAACATGGAGAGGATCAGCCTTGTTGAGCTGTTGAATGCAATCTGCCTCCTACAACAGTTTTTAAATAAAAAGTAAACTCATGTAATACAAAGTGGATAGTAAGTTAATCTAATTTACCTTGTAAGAAATTAGCCCAAAGATATTTGCATGTACATGCACTCTTCATCTTGAACAATTTCCACTGACAATGTACACTTCATGTCAAAGGTACACATGCTTGCATGCAAGCTCTTTTCAGCAGTTACAGTTTCAGTAGCACTCTCAGCTCTGCAAATAACAGATTCATTTGTAGCTTGCTTGTCTGAAATGTACCTTATCACTTACAGCTGCATGCATATTAAACTCTATAGACAGATACAGTGTACCTGAGCTCCAAGTCTGGAATAATCCAAATTCAATATTTTTATAGCAACTTGCTTCTTTTCAAAATGGTATGTATCCTTTACAAAGAAAATTACATGAATGTTAGCTTTGATAAATATACAAGCATACTGAGTGAACTGAACAGTTTTTATCCAATCACAAAATAAGTTTCATCACAAAATATTGTCTGTAATAGAAGCTGAGATTGGAATTAAGCAACACAGCCCCTTGGGTTTCAAATGTTTTGGTCTGTTTCTAGAAAGAATATGGGCCTTTGCAGCTGTGGAAGAGGTTATCTTAATTGAAACATATGATACACCTCTGAATTGCATTTCAAACACCTTTGAATGTCTTTTCCCATTTAACTCCTTAGATCAGATTGTTAATTCTCCCCTCTAGTTGCTGCATCTTTTCTATTAAACTATTACTAGAATTTGGTGTTAGATCGAGACAACAACTTCTTCCTGATCAGTTTGAGTATCTCATTACCTGTTTGCTATATAATGTAAAGATATTGAAGGGAGAAGTTACTTTTTGATCATTTCTAGGAGTTGAAGGGTTAAGAGGCAAGTTTTTAACCATATGCTGAAAGTAATTAATAGGTTCTTCAAAAATGATGTTTTACAACACTTTCGGAAAAAAAATTCATATAAATGTAGGTATAAAGTTGACAGGTATAACAGGAGGTACTGGTATTTTCCAGAGACAGTTACAGTAATTAAAAACCATAATTTCCAGTCTGTATGTGTATTTTGTATGCCTTACCTCTGCTGAAATCAAGAGCGATGATTCCCCTTCACCAATAACTTGAATAAATTTGTATCTTCCAGCAAGTAATGGAACTACCAGAAAGAAAATTATAAAGAAGAAATCAATAGCAATTAAAATTGAAAAAAAAAATGTATTCATTTGATACATTTTGCCATAACAATTTATTTTTGTATCATATTATTTTCTTTAGTTCAAGCTATACATACTTAAAAACCTTTTTTAATTCACTGTTTTTAGATTTTGAATTCAAGCTTTACAGAAACTGATGCTTTTATATAGTGATTGGAAATCTTCAGTGTAATTGATGCAGCTACTGAACTGAAACAGAGAAGTTACCTGGATAACAAGGCTTGAATTTGCCATCTTTGCCAGTCTGTGATGCTAGTACTGGAGCAAAAAAGGAAAAAAATTAAATAAAAATGTCAACACAGCTAGTCTGTGTACACATTCTGGTTCTCCCATGTTGATTTTTACATAAAGCAAATCAAAACTAGGCTGCAGAGTCATGGGCTGATGTGCAATAATATATCAACTGTCCTCATGATCAAAATAAAAAAATAAAAAAATCTATCATCCACTTATTCTTTGGGATTAGATTGAAACATGACTTGTCTGGCGTCTGTACAGTATGCAAGAAAAATTCCACACTTGATTTCCCCCCATAATGGAAAAGATTTTTTCCTAGTCTTCTATTGAGAGGTTTGACTTATTTGCACATTCAAATACTTTTTTTATTGTTTGCCTCTTTTCAAATAAGTGTAAAGAGTTGTACAAGTAATATGTACCAAAATACACCCAGTAAATGAATCAGCCGATGATGAGTCTCCCTGTTAACTCAATAGATCTTAGGAGAATGGCAGTGAAATTGGCAGCACAGTAGAATCATACTAAACCTTTTGGTATTGTAGCCGCTCTGAGCAGTAGAGTTTCTTCCTTACACAAGCCTTGTTTTTTTCTTCAAGCTTTTGATATAGCACCCTGAGTCCCCCTGACAGGTGGGTACTAATAAATCTCTCAGGTGGTTTAATATATCCTCTGTAATAGCTGCCAGTTCCCCTGAAATTCAGAATAAATAAAGTAATTATCTATCCCAGTTTGTTCTTAACATAAAGCACATAAATTATGTGCAAGTAAGGGCAGAAAATTATTTTTTCTTGTATTTGACTCAGCATTTAAATTATTCCAATTGTGTGTGGCACTATGGGTTGCGAATGTAGTATGTGTGAATCTAGAAGAACTGAACTGTGAATGTGTGAATGCATGATGGCATTTATTTATGCATAGAGTAGTTACCATCATTATACTCAAAGGGTTTTGCTCTTGAGGCATGTTTCAATTTGCACAACCAGTGCATGCAGACTTCAGGTTTCAAGTACTAGACAAGTAGGTATTATCCATAGTACCAGGTATGCAGAGCGGACGAGATGTGAAGTTTTGAGGTAAAATAAATTTGATGCACATTTAATAAGTGTACCTAATCTATTAAATTCCTTCCCTGTCCCCAGCCTGTCAATTGACCTGTGTACAAACTCTGTTCTAAGTTCCCTTTTGTCACAAGTTTGACATCCACATGAGCTTTTCATTAACCCTCTGCATTTTAAACCACACTAGGTTTATTACTGCAATACTCTACAACTATACAACAGAAGGCACGAGCCGTCATAGACTGCCTTTCAAGCGGAAGCCTTAGATGAACCCCATCAAAGCTTGCGGTTCCGAAGTCAAACTTCTCATCCTTGATATACAACAGTGGTACTGAAGAATTCATCATCTCTATGACTGCTGCAGTAATCTTTCGATGTCATGTTATCCTTAATTCTTGTGAGACACGGATCCTTTTGGATTGTGGAGATTTCCGAAAAACTCCATACTCATGATTCTTGGATAAAGCTGTGGTGTTAAAGGCAATCTATTGTTTTCGCTATTGTTTTCTTTATCCAAGTATAAAGCTATGCGGAAATCTTCCCATATTCTCTTTCTACAGTTCAAAAGCTCGACTTCTTAACCAAAAGGAATTGGGGGCGGAAGTCAAATTGCCGAGTGTCAGAGAAACTTACAAACTAAGTCAAACATCGATCCCCGAGGGAGAGTCGCATACCTTTAGACGGCAATTGGCGCAAAAGCTCCATCCAAACTCGACATTTCAGCTACGGAAAACTCTCCTCAGAATTAAACGGTCCTCTTTAGTCGACGAGAGTACAACTGATTGACCGATCGCCCGATCGACGAGAAAATTGTGGCGCAAAATTTCAAAACAATCTAAAATTAGCAAAGGCGCCATTTCCCCATGATAGTAGTTACCAGACCACCTCAATTTTAAAATTTAAACGGGTATATAGTGTTTTGTCGCAGTCGCGTCGGAGCTTGAAAGGAAAGTCTTTTTGGAAATCAAATGCCTCTAATTTCATATATGCCAACTTTCTCGGATTATCTCGGTGTCTCCCTTATACAGAGTCAATCTCTTGCTCTTCCCTACGGGTGACCAAAACTCCCGGATCAAAGGAAGTTTGGATCAGTTACCCGCAAAAAACTAAGATTTAAGCTCCATATGTTCCAAAATTCTAAAATCATCTGGCTTCTTATGCTTGTATTACGGTTTCTGGCTTCACTTTCTTGCGCGATGCACGTTATTTGTTGCGAATAAAAAGAAGAAAATATCTTTTTTGTTACTCCTGGAAAGGGGGGGGGTGGTAGGGCGAGACAGACGCTTCCCGCACCACGTTCTCCCGCCTCCCGTACTTTTGTGCCCCTTTACCTCCCGACTCCCACCCTTCATAGTATCGCTTCAGTGTTCAGCTTAATCAAGAGGATCAGACACCCGGGTGTAACTTTCAAACTGTGCCAAAACTTAACATTCTTGTTCATTTTCTGGTTCATGTTTTTGTAAATTGGGTCCCGATGGAAGTTATTACAGGTCAGTTTTCTTAATTAAACTAGGTTTCACTAACCTGGTTATCACAGTTTGACCATCGCTTCTGACATCTCGTTATAGAGACGAAAGTCTCAGTCCACTGTGTAATGTAATAACTATTGCAAAATTTTCTTCTAAGCATTGGTGGATGTTAAATGGAAATTTCAAAACTTTGCTAGATGAGTGTTTTTGACTGAATAATACCAAGTAATAAAGAACAAACTATTGCTTTCTTTATTTCTGCTCCCGCTTCCCACCCTCATATAGATCCCGCTTCCCGCCCCCTGTTCTCCCGCTTCCTGCCCTCTTCCGTCCCCTCTTCTCCCGGGCTCCCGCTCCCCTGTCCCCTTCCTTTATATAAGCGAGAGTCTGATTGGATGAGTATTCAACCAATTGAAGACCCTGACAGATATATCCACGTTTTTCCCGCAAAATTGCTTGTAGGGGTCCAAATCAAAAATGAAATTACCCGGAGGGGGCCGCATTGGCGAATTCGGTCGGGAGGGGTGCTAGTCTGAAAAAAAAATCTCCAGATTTGAGTTGGCATCTCTGTAATTTAGTTGTGCAAGAGGAAGCCTTCCTAAAAAGGTTTGTGAAAGGTCATATTTCTCACATACATTGTATTTATCAAAATATTTTACCTTATAACTATAGCCTGGGTAAGAGCTCAAACCATAGCCACCCATCATTTACTAATCAAGGTCAAACAAGAGTGTCCCTTTGACACTTAATAAAAAAAACAACAACAACACTATTATCCATATAATTTAAAATAATCAATTTTCTTGCACCACTAAATACACCTATTAAAGACACTGACCCACTGACTAAAATACCAAATACAATTTTCTACTTAAATCATTTTTATCCTCCCTGTTTTACCATTACCTATGCTATGGAAAGTTATAGAAAGTTTTGTTTTTATTGAGAATTGAAATTTAATCATTTGTCCCAAGATGTAAGAGTCAAGCAAATCAACTGTGTATTGATTGTGATGTTGCAACTGCTATGCTTCGTCAGGTGAGTAAGTTGAAAGTTGATGTGTGGCTATTTGTAACACCTTGTTATTGTTAGTGTTTTGGTGCGCTGTCATTGATGCATTTTGATCCTCATTATTATTCTGAGAACTGGAAGTTGTTCCCTTAATAGGTTCACTTTGTTATCGGCTACCATGCTTTTTGATAGTAAGGCATCCACACGTAAGGAATTTCAATTCAGTTATCTCCATTGATGTTATTAGGATTAAATCTAATGTGGTTGGCTTCTTTAACCCTTCATGTGTTACAAGGAGAGTCATGGTCAACATACCGCCGTAATTCCCGGTGGGCTCACTCCAGTTCTCCAGCCCCTGGATAAGTGCATCAGTAAGCCATTCAAAGCAAAGGTCCGTGCGTAGTACGAATCCTGGATGGTTAACGGTCCATTTACCTACACGCCTTCCGGAAAGAAGCGAGCGCCCAGTAAAGAGATGGTGTTGTGGTGGATCGATCGAGCATGGAGAGAGATCCCAGTTGAGTTGATAACGAGATCGTTAAAATCCTGTGGCATCAGCAGAACTCTCGATGGAACTGAAGATGATGCGGTTTGGGATGATGAGGAAGAAGAAGCAGAAGACACAGAAGAGCGGATTGACAACGAGTTCGAGACAGACAGCGAAGCCGAAGACGACGAGTAGCTGAGCTCAGCCGAGCTTTCAAACAAACGGTTCTTTTGAGAGCCACCCTGGTTCTTTTTAGAACCAATAAATCAGATAAACTCAGAAAAAGCTGGTTTTTGCCAAAACAAAGGGTCGCTTATTGAAAATACTGGTGTGCGAGTTGTGCTTTCTGATTTGTTATTAATGCCAGAAGGAATTTGATCATTTTGCATTATCTGAAACTTAAACCTATCTACACCCTAACATCAGTATCTATATTCTCCATACTTTTCTCTGTACAATTCCTCTGGTACTGACAACGAGAATTTGTTTAACAATCAAAGGTTCTTAAGTTGGTGATCATTTGCCTCATTCTCATTGTCTTAATGAATGACTCAGCAGTATTTTTGTAAGGAGAAATTAAATACTGGTCACTCCGAGGGTTCAAAGGGTTAAAAACATATATCTAAATAAAAAACTACTGAATACCTATAAATTCCCTTGTCATGAAAACCTTGCAATCCCATCAGAAATCTGAAAGAATCGTTCAAAAGCATCGATTTGAGGCTCGGCATCCTCACATGCTTCCTTTTACTCGCCCCAGGCTTGTCTCCACTCACTCGAAAAGGACCCGGAGGCTGAGAGACGGTCTATAGGAGAAAAGAAGAGAAAGTTTCCTCCCCTAACGAATTACTGCAGGACAATTAACATGAAAACAAATAAATTCATTTACTTCCTTGCTTCTTCTCCAGTTGTCCTTGGAGCGAGTTCATTCGTTTTCCTCACTTGGCTCATAAGCTTACCGGTTGTTCATTATTTCATATCTAACGGTGGAGAATAATTCTATTTTCATGTTGGTTAGTTCTCACAGTTTCCACGCCAAGTGAATTGTCAGTGAAAAGGTGCTCAGTGCATGCATTAGAATAACGCTCCACAAATAAAAGTCGTGCACTTGGTGTAATAGAAATCCTACGTAAATCGGCCAACGACAAGCGGACAAAATTATTAGATAATTGATAATATTTAAAGGACCTTTTCCACTGGCGCTTACGTTTGGCCGTTCATCGTGCCTGGGGAAGAGAATGACTGCGGAATCGACAGTCGAACAGAAATAGCTAACCACATTTTATTGGCCGCCTGATATGACTGACGTATGACGTGTGTTGCAAAAAACTCAAAGGACGAAAAGAGATGGTTAAATTTATTTCCTTAGCTGGGCACTGAAGGCTCCAGGTTGTGGTAAGTACTGTCTATGAAAACAACTGATTCACTTGCATTAATTTACCATGACATAGACTAAGGAAATCGTTTCAGCTTGGAGCATCAGTTTTAAAAATTGCTTCAAACCTCGTTCAGCTATAAATGATGTGATAAATGACCTGGCGGAAGAGAATTCTGATATGTGCGATAGAAATTGAAAGAAATTCATAAACGGCAAACTCGGTTTATCGTTTTTAACCCCACTAAAATAAAATAATTGACTCCGAAAGAAAGACTTTGCCAGATTGGTA